AGAGAGAGAGAGAGAGAGAGAGAGAGAGAGAGAGAGAGAATAGATAGATATATGGATTACGTGAGAATCTGTTTTCGTGAGAAGATGAAAACAATTTGAGATTTTGGAATTACTTTTTATGTAATAGCTAAAAACCAAGGACTTCCATCTACGTTCATTTGTCTTCATCTTCACCTTTAGTCACTTTCTAATAAACTTTTACATATGGAGTAGGCTCGGTCGAGATTTTTCCCAAACCATCGTAATTAAGTTGTGTTGTTTAAATGTAGCATACTGTTGAACATAGACGGACCTAGAGGGGCGGTTAGGTGGCACGTGCCACCGTATTGTTCCTCCGTGGTAAGATAAAAATAATTAGGTTCGTGAAATGTGCAACTATTTTATATAGTGTCACCGTATCCAAAAATTCTTGGGTCCGTCCCTATTGTTGAACCGGACCCATAAACACCTATGCGACAAAAGTACAATTTCTATGATCAAATTATGAATTCTACAAAACTTAATGATTAATATAGTGACAAAATTTCACAACCACCTTTTATGTTATATCATAAAGTTTAGATACTTTCTCGTAAAATGAAATTCACGAGATTAGACAAGAGAAAATAATTATATAAATCAATTTATTATTATTGTTAGAGGGTTATTACAAGTTTTAGAAAAGAAACTAATGGAGAACCAAACTTTATGCACCCATAAATACAAACATAGCTCTCTTAACGATATCATATCGAAATGGGGATTGCTATTTGTATCTTTTTTAATGTCAAAATCAGATCAATTCATACATTGAAAATATATAATATTAATGCATTCAATCAGATTATTTATTAATTCTTTTTTATAGAAGTTATTTTTATAATTTAGAGTTTTTTTTTATAAAGATTTTATAGGAAATCGTGTGTTTAACATCAAATGCATGTCTTTTGAAAGTTATTGAATTAACTCTCTTTTTTAAAAACCATGCTCATAATAAAAAATAAAAAAAATTCATTTATGGTTATAACTAAATAACATGATACAATCTATAAGTGAGGACCGGTCTTTTTCAAGAAGGACCAAATTTCAAACTAGTGTTTTGTATATCTACAACCGAAGAATTTAGGAGGTTTTAAAACCACACGTTTTTTTGCAGTTAATTGCTATCAAAAACGTCTATGTAATTAGCTCAACTGACAATAAGGATTGAGTTTTTGGGATTGTTCTCGGGGATATATCAAACTATTTTGGTTTATTTCATTTTAATCTAAATTTTATCATATATCTATTAAATAAAGAGTTAAATGAATGAAATAGCAACCTACTTTTATAAATTTTCTTTAATATAACATTTTACTTTTGTTTTTCTTTATTACAACAATGTACTTTAAAAAATCTACACATAATAGCAATGGCTAACCTGTTACCTTTTAAACAGGTTAACCTCTTGATTTTTTTTTTGTTGCTTGTGTGACTTTAATGAGGTGATGTGAATGACACATCATTTTGATGACTTAACTAAAATAAAAATAAAAACTTATTTCAAATTATTATTAGTGATTTTCATTTTTCATTTTTATGATCTAAAAAAACATTTAATTTTTTTTTTTACTTTTTCTTATTAAGTTGCATGCAAATTAAATATTTTAGAGTAAATATTTGTTAAATAAATATGAAACATTATTTTCGAGATATATTTTGTTTGTGAAAAAAAGTAACACTTCTTATTTTATGTTGTTCAAATAAATGCATATATTATAAAGTTCTCTTTAAAATATTAACGAAATAAATTGTTATCTACAATTTTTTAATATTGTTATATTAAGAAATAATTCAAAAAAATCTAATTAATTTAATATATTTATACGTCAAGTAATTATTTTTGAACAAATATAATATATTCCTTAAAAGATAATATTTTTTGGTAAAATAGGAACAATTCTTATTTTCTTTTTTCAAAAAACATATATTTTGTTAAAAATATTAGCGAGATAAGTTGTGTTCTACTAATTTTATTGATATTGATATATTAATGAATTATTTAGAATTTTTTTAATTCATTTAATGTATTTATTAAATAACATGTAAAATATCTAAATATTAAAATTAAAAATACAATGTTTAATAAGAACTAATAGATGCTATAATAAAATAATTTTGAAAATACAATGATATAGTAAGAAAATCACTTCACTATAATATATGTGGACAGCTTATATGGACAATGAGGTGGCATGAAAACCTGGTATAATGAGTAAATTTAAATCAAAAGATTACTCAATGTTATAATTGGTAAATTTTTCAAAGTATAATGTCCTAATAAAAAATGATTTTAAAGTACATTGTTATAATAAAAAAAACTGAAAGTACAATACTATAATAAAAGTTTTTATAAAAATAGATTATTATTTTATACATTCTACTTTTAAATAAATAATTATCATAAAATGATTAATTACAACGGACAAAAAGAAGGGAATAAAAAATTCCTGATGTTCATATCATCTTCGACATTAAAAACCAAAATTGTGTGGGATGGAGAGTGAAAGTATTGAATAATCCGATCATGGCGACGATGATGATGATGATGAAACCCATCGGTTTTCAATTTTCTGACTTGAAAAAACTCAGAAATCCATACCCAAATTCACCATTGATCAGAAGATCCCATGAACCCAATCATGGTTTGCTCCAAATGTCTCAAGATTTAGATCGATCACTGGTCCATGAATTCAATCCCTCTATCCCAATTCAAGAAGCCCTAACCCCACCAAGTTCATGGTATACTTGCGCTTCTTTTCTCTCTCTAGAACTCAATCAAGTGTTCTTCAAAGGATGGCAGGCCGTCGGTAATCTACATAATACTCATCTCTCTGTCTCTGAACTTGTAATTTGGTATATTGTTGTTTGATTTTTAGGTCATATTGGTTGAGTTTCAACGTCAATCCCACGAAATTATTTATTTTCCGTTGACATACGTCAATGAAGAAGATGCATAATAAGATCGTTTGTTTCAATCAAGGGTCAAGCTTCATATTGCAAGAATCCCATAATCACAATGTTGGAATATTGCAACCATCTCAACAACTGAGGCAGGATTTTGGAATTTCAAATTTAATTCAACACGAAAGCTTTAAATCTAGAATCCTTAAAAAGGGGAATAAAAACACTTGTTTATGTTTGATTGATTGATGTTTAGGATGTACCCACCAAATTCAGGAAGCTAACAGTTTCTTCACCGGCAGGTAAATTTCTTGTTATTTTGGTTGTGTTGGGTTATTGTTCATTGTAAAATCTTGATTAATTCAAGTATGGCAGATTGGGAAATGTAGAATATGTGGTATGCCGTGATGAAAATGGCGAGTTGCGTGCTTTTCATAACGTTTGTCGTCACCATGCCTCGCTTCTTGCCTATGGAAGTGGAAAAGGATCTTGTTTTGTATGCCCTTACCATGTGAGTTAACTTCCGGCGGTCATTCTTTATTGGTTTCTTAGCTTTTTTGGATGAAAACAAACGTCTATGATCCGGGTTCTTTTAGTTTCCGCTCACACATATAACAAATGGAGAGAAAACTTGGTTAATTGAAAAGAAATTGCAGAGAGGGAATGAACTGAATCTGTTAATCTTTTCAGGGATGGACATATGGATTGGATGGAAGACTTCTGAAGGCAACCAGAATAACAGGGATAAAGAACTTCAATGTCAAAGTATATGACTTACTTTTCTTTAGATGATTCAACAGTTGAATGATGTTTAACTGTGATCTGTTACTTATCTGCTGTTGTTGATGTTAGGAATTTGGACTGGTTCCAGTAAGGGTAGCCATTTGGGGGCCATTTATCCTTCTGAACCTAGAAAGAAAGGGGTTTGATCAACAGAATTGTGATGATAATGTGGGGATGGAGTGGCTTGGTAGCACTTCTGAGATACTAAGTACCAATGGGGTTGATACTTCTTTAAGTTATCTACGCAGACGTGAATACACAATCGAGTGTAACTGGAAGGTTTGGTTCTTAAACTCCATCTCTCACCTGGTATGCTAGGTCAATACAACTAAATCATAGGTTTTATAGGATGCCAGATATGTCTTATCGGTTCATTACAACTTAAAAGTCTTATTAGTCAGTTAAAGATATTTGGCGTCTTATGAAGTGGTGAGGATAGTTATGTTTTTGCAGGTTTTTTGTGACAATTACTTAGATGGTGGTTATCATGTCCCTTTCGCACATAAAGATCTTGCATCAGGTCTTAAGCTCGACTCCTATTCCACCACCGTATGCTCCCTACTATCTAAATCTTCGACTACCCTACTTGCATTTCGTGTACGATATGAAAATGTTATTGAAATTGTTGTTGTAGATATATGAGAAAGTAAGCATCCAAAGATGTGATGGAGATGAAGATTTTGATAGGCTTGGATCAAAATCTTTATATGCTTTCATTTATCCAAACTTCATGGTGAATAGGCAAGTCTCATCCTGATTTAAGCTTGTTTCTTTACCACCACGGACGTCCGTGGGTGCTTTTATTTTTCTAACCAACTCTTATTTCAGGTATGGGCCTTGGATGGACACCAATCTGGTGCTACCATTAGGACCCCGGCGATGCAAAGTGATTTTCGATTACTTTCTTGACGCTTCTCTTAAGGATGATGAAGCTTTTGTGGCCAAGAGTTTAGAAGACAGTGAGCAAGTTCAGGTATGCGAAGATCAATTGTATCCAACTTTTGGCAGTAAAAGAACATATGACCACCATGTTGCTTACATATATAATGTATCTATAGATGGAAGACATCATGCTCTGTGAATCGGTTCAAAGAGGGCTGGAATCGCCAGCCTATGACAACGGTCGATATGCTCCAATGGTAGAGAAGGCCATGCATCATTTCCATTCTCTGCTACATCAACATCTCATCAAGTGATTTCAAGCATAAAAAAAACTTGAAAATCTCTGTAATATAAGTCATGAAAACACAATCAATTTATATAGAAAACACACTACTACACCCACACACATGTACAGCTTTTGTTCACACATGTACAGCTTTTGTTCGGATTAGGCTCTGTGCAGAAGGAAGGAAGAAAATGCATCAAATGACAAAAAATGGTAATAACATCATTCACAACTGAAAACCACTTCATCTTCTTGATTTATATCCTCCTCAAAACTCTGGTGTATTGTTAGGAGTTACGGTTAGCCTTTGACTATGTCCAGAAGAGCAAACATGATGGTAAAACGGAAACGATAACCTTCCAAGATCCTGCCCGCCCTTTGTATTCAAGCATCATCCTCGTATCCACCTGCAATAACAAGAAAAACACAAGTTATAACCATCCATCAGTTTTCATACTTGATTTGATACCAAAGTGGTTAAAGAGTCTCCCAAATATGCACCTCTGTTTCCACGCCGTCTGCAGGATGCAAATATGTCGGTAAAATATTCGCTGAAGGGCTTCTCGGAGACGGGGATAAGTTTCCCAACAACAGCAAGAGGCCAACTGATGACAATGAACAAATAATGAGGACAAAAACATGAAAAAGATTAGACTTTTGGGATGAAATTGATTCGAAATTACAACGCACCTGATAATGCCAATCACAATAGAGACTAGCCACAATTGCCAACTCAGCCTTACGGTTGTTGTAAATTTCCCGAGGAACATGATTATAAGGACCTGGAATATTTAGAGACGGAGTATGATATTACAACCTCCGTACGCGAGAGAGAAAAAGAGAGGGGGAGAAGGGGCTGAAACTTACTTGAAGAACCACAGTAAGGCTCACAATTCCCATAAATAAGCGATTCTTAGTAACTCCTTTGAAAACATTCATTTCATCAGGCTTTCGTGCATTAAATTCATTGAATACCTACAGTTAGAATGGTTTAAATAAGAAGATTTGTAAGAAAATAGAATGATTATGTATCGGAACTCCTTGTGTTGAAATCAACATATGATCGATTACCTGAGCAAGGACGAAAGCGTTGAAAATGAGAGTGTTTTTCTCTTTGATAGCATGCTCAGCAGGGTCGTGCTCCGAATGTAGGAGTTGTCTCCCACGGAAATTGAGTACAAGGAGAACCGACACTTGATAAAAAGCCTGTAGTTTTATGGCATCATTAGTACACTTAATTCAAGAAACATGGCATTATTCACATGTGAATTTTCACTCATTGTTTCAAAAATACCTGTATTAACAAGTTCCTCCACATAATATTTGTTATAAGAGGTTCCCTGAGGAGAAAAGAAAAAGACAACAAAATTACACACTAAACACTCAGTAGCAACGATAAAATATTATTTCGACCAAACTTCAAAATATTACCTGCGGCCAACGGGATGTCGGTCCATGAGATGATCAGTCGGTGGTTCAGTGGCCAGTGCAAGTGCACCCAGAGTATCCATGATAAGATTCACCCAAAGTAGCTACACACAGATCAATACAACGTAAAATATCGTTCTTGCACAATATTGACTCCATATTTTAGCATGAAACAGAACACGAAAGAGACCTGCACTGCATTTAGGGGGACATCGCCTGAAGAAACTGCGGCCACAACGTTAATTATAAGAGCAGCAACATTCACAGTAAGCTGAAACTGGATAAATTTCTGTATATTTGCATAAACAGATCTTCCCCAACGAACAACCTGTACATTTTAATGGTGAAGATAATAAAAATCAAAAACCAAAAGGGAACAAAACACAAAAAAACAACAAGTACCTTTACAACTGAAGCGAAATTGTCGTCCAATATAATGATATCACTGCTTTCTTTTGCAACTTCTGTTCCTTGGATGCCCATAGCAAGACCAATATCAGCCTACAATTGAAAAACGAGACTAACAATGTGAAATAATTCGATCGTCACAAAAGAAAAATAAGCAAAAAAGTCGATGCTGATTCCAGAATATGGAAAAATATCGGTTATTGTTCTGGTGTTTACCTCGTGCAATGCAGGGGCATCATTAGTTCCGTCTCCAGTTACAGCAACAACATGACCTCTCTTCCTCAGTGCTTGCACAAGTAACAATTTATCGTTAGGAGAAGACCTCCCCATCACCTGTTTCACAAACAAAAGCATATCAACAACTCTCTCCCTTTCCAATTCACCGGTTCAATTAAAAACTAGTCATAGAATTAAGAATTTTTACTATTAACAAGACTCGTTGGCTTCTAGTTACATACCGATATCTTATCAGCTACTTCTAGCCTTTGCCCTTCAGTCAAAGCACGGAATGATTTCCCTTCAATTAGGTTTGGTTCTGTCGCATCTGCATTCGACGCTAGGATTCCACATTCTAACGCTATTGCTCTTGCTGTTTGAAGATTGTCGCCAGTCACCATTCTTACCTGCATGGATTTAGGTAAATGAGAACTATTTGCACAAAAATAATAGATACAATTACATGTAAACCAGATAATCTTGCAAACGGCACAAAACTATTGAACGGAACATCCAAAAAGGGATTGTGAACTGGATTAAAAGAGCTCCAAAATGTATCCAGCACCACAAGGCAGTCGGTTAAGAATTTCATTTTAGTTGAGCATTAATCAACATTTGAAAATAGAGCAATTTGCGTTTTACCTTCACGCCAGCCTTTACGCACAGTTCGACAGCCTCTCTGACACCCGGCCGACAAGGATCCTACATTGGAAACCATGTATAATCTTTTAACTTTCATGCCATTTATCAAAAGAACTGATCAAGTGGCACAGACATCAAAGGCTACATATATGATGCACGTAAACAAAAACATGTGTCAATAGGAATTGCAAGAAATCTATCGAATTGTAAGTCACCGCTCAGGAACCCAATATACCGACTAAAATAGCAACCATCAGTTGCATCGAATTAGTTCAGCTTCATTACCAGCATGCCATAAAAACTTAATGGAAAGTATGCTAGAAAGTGGAATTGGAAATAGCAAAATATGGCTCACGGAAATCTCCTCAAGACAGTAAAATACTATAATGCAAATGATAAAAATATAGAAATAAAACGTGATAGTCTAGCATATGTCAATCATATGTAGTAAGACTAAAACCTGCACATACCTTCAGACCAACTATCGCTAGCAAAACAAGATCGCCTTCGGGCAATTCCCACTGTGCCAGTTCATCTTCATCTGTTGGCACAGTTTCCCCTTCGCATGGTCGGTAGGCAATAGCAACACACCGCAAACTTCCAGCTGCCATATCTTCAATCGCCTTTTTAAAAAATTCTACCTGCATCCAAGCCACGTTAACAAACAATTAACTCTAAAATGACTTGTTAATCTGATGCATTACTAAGAGACCAAACTCTTGTACCTTTGCTTCATCCAGGGCAACAAGCTGCTCATTATCATCCATGTATCTCGTACATGCAGCTAAGACGATTTCAGCGGCCCCTTTCCAATGTACATGAACTTCATTATCAGGCTGCGGAAAAATCAAAGAACAAAAGAATATTTTAACTGAATCCTATAACATGAAAGCACACATTACTAATATATCACACATTATGCATTAGCATTCAGTATGTGTTGATAGCTTCTGCTGAATTCAGAAAAAATAAAGCAAGTACAATTACCAATTTCACCGCAACACCTCCTCGTTTTTTCTCTGAGTTGAAGGGAAATGCATGAATAATGGAAGACTCCGACCTAACGGCCTCGAAGTTCATTCCGAGCTGCAGTTATTACAAATATAATCAGTATCACCTCACATCAAAGATAAGAGAGAGAATGCCCCGGAAACATATGAAGAAGCAACTAACTTTAACACCCCATTGAAGAATGGCCTTCTCTGTTGGTGATCCAGAAATCTCGACATCACTACCTCCCTATAAAACCACCAACAACGAAAAAGTGAAATCGTCATTCACACAAGTTGAAGATCATTAAACCTTACAATACTTGCTAACTTATGATGGGGCATACTCTACTAACACATGATTCTAAAGCAACATGATATAGATATCTAATAAGTCGATAGGTAAATTGAATATAATGGTGATTCCAATGAGCTATATGCACAGCAAAAAAGATCACTGAGGCCAGGATAAAGATGTCATTCTAAAATATCTACCTCAGGCAAAAATACGCTGCCAGTTGTGTTCTGAGCTACACTTTCAATGAGAAGAGATACAACCCTTGAAGGTAATTCGGACTTGCTGCTTGGCGGATCGATTTTCTTCCCACAAATATAAGCCTCAACCACGGTCATCTGAAGAAAGCAAAAACATGTGAAATGAGTATAAAAGGAAGGGTTGTGATTTCTTAGAGCCTTTGGATATCAAAAGTAAGAAGAAAAGACGAGTTCCCCTCACAACATGACACATTTGTACCCCCAAGAAGCATTCGTCTTTATTACATTTATAACATGATAACAGAAGTTTTTAGTACCATTTTAGACCTGCAAGAACCATAAAGTTATTGAAAAAAGAAAAAAAATTCCACCTTATTCAATGTCAAGGTTCCTGTTTTATCACTGCAAATTGTAGTCGCAGAACCCATTGTTTCACAAGCAGATAGCCTCCTAACCTGCACTTGCACAATTACCAACAACATAAAATGAAATACACAGAAGTAGATGCTCACACGAATTTGAGTAAAAATTATCAAACTTACCAATGCTTTGTCTGCCATCATTTTCCGCATCGAGTATGCAAGCCTGTAATAATGCAAAATACGAAAAACACATTAGTAATCTGGAACTTAATTAAAAAAATCCAGTACAAAAACAAACAATACCATCCCCAGTATGAGCATAAACGTAGCAAAAACAGTATGGTATGCCTTGGGTGAGTGCAGGGTAAAAGATGAAGACATTTATATCTCGAGGAAATAACAGCATATCACATGGAAAGAAAGAAAAAACAGACCACTGGTTGTAGAAATGGATAACTTACGTTAAGGTAACAGCTAATGGAAGCCCTTCAGGTACCGCAACAACAACGATAGTGACCTATAGATTCTTCAAGAATTAGTAGCTAAAAAGAAAGCCTAATTAAAGTTCATCTTCTCCCCAATCCTGTTTTGACTTTTGGGTGTCAAGACTAACATAAACAGTTTCACAATTTAACAATTTGTCCACAAGTATTGTAACAAATCTTACACAAATTCAGATCATTATTAACCAAATAGTTTGTCTGATCCTAAAAAGCCAAGTAGGACATTCGTATCAACTACAAAGACAGAAGATACATACTGCAACAGTGAAAATTTTTATTGCACCATCGACAGCATCCCCAACACTAGTTTTGCCAGCAATAAACTCTACACGCCTCTCTGCATCCCTCGTATGTCCAGTAAAAAACCTACCAAACAGAAATTACCATCTCAAATCAAGAAAGAGAGGGTAAAAGAAGGTTATAAAGTGGATGTGCCACCATGAATTACCTGATGAGGAGGATGACAAGAACAAATACAGCTACCACAAGCCCAACTATACCAATAAATGTCGCCACTCCATTTAAGCGCACCTGAGTTGTATAAAAAATCATCTTGATTACAATATGTTTAAGCCCTTTGCATAGTTTTTCAACTTTGAACGAATTTTTTTCCCTGCTAATAAGAAATATTAAGAGTAGAGATTGAGAACTAACCTGCAATGGTGTTTCCTCGCCGTTATCTTCTGAGATGCTAGCCATAAGCAATCCCCATTCTGTATTTATTCCAACACTAGTGGCCTAATAAATGATCATATTACAGAAATTAACAACAACAAAAGGAGGGAGTACAATCACAGTTTAGGTAAAGATAAAAAAAGATTGAAAATGTTATCACAAATGATTCACAGGTTATCCAAGAATTCGGAAGACGAAAAAGCTAATGAATTTCTGAATATCACAAGATCAAATGGATCGCCTTCAATCTCTTAAAAAGAACTGCAAGTGCTTTTGGAAAAGACAAGCTGAAAGCAGATATGATGGCAAGTGCCACAAGATATAGCATCTTTCTTACCAGCATAGTACCATATCCATCAGCCACCTTGCATCCAGACATTAGAAATGGTGATTTGTGATCTTTATGAACCTGTTCCACCATGGGAAAGCTATGTTATTTACCTACAATGACGCGAGATAAAATGCAATATAACAGAATCTCAAGAAACTCACGATTTTACTCTCCCCGGTCATACTTGATTCATCCATAGCAAGGGAATGACCAGAAATTAAAATCCCATCAGCTGGAACCTGGTTCATTATTGAAGTGTAAAAAAAGTGCAAGAATGGCAATCTTAAGGACCATATTACTAAAAGGAAATGAGTAACATACTATCTGACCTGATCACCAATTTTTAGGGGTATGACATCTCCCACAACAATATCAAATATTGAAATATTCACCCTCCTTCCACCTCTCATGACCTAGTAATGCCATATCTTTATTTGTCAGCAGAAGTAATATGCGCTTAGATGAAAATATCAATATGTTGTTAGAAACCCACCTCCAATTGTATGTTCTGCTTCTCCTCATTTAAGTTTTGAAATTGGAGTGATTGTTTATAATCACTTATGGCTAGTGAACAGAAAACAACAGTGGCATATTAAAAAGAGAATATACTGTCTGAAACATACATCTGCTACATATACAAGCTAACACTTTTCATTCAACAGAAAATATGTTAGATAACACACTTTGTAATGCTAGTACTAAATCTAATAACTTCTTTTACTGCTTCGTTGATAGCATTCCAAATCCAATAAAAGCAAGTTTGCTAATACTCGCCAGCCACCAAGTGAATAATCTTATCTCTCGTTATTCATGAGTGGTTAGATGAAGCTTCTGCAACAAACTTTTCTACTTCTAATGATAGTTGAATATGAAGCCTTGTAATTACTGGCACTTGCTGTGCTTTTCAGGTACAATTGTACAAATGGCGAGTTTGAGTTATCAAGATTTCATTCAGTGTGCCTATAATGTTATATTTCCCAAAATATAACAAGGAGACATAAGTTTCTACTCGTAACACAAACATCAACCATATCAATGTCTATTTAAATATAGTACCTGTAACGACTATGACGATTATAACAGCCAAAGCTATGCTTCCCCCATCATACCATCCTTCTTTGATCCCCTGTAGAGACAGTACAAGTGAGAAAACAAAAAGGATGTTATCTTACCATCATCTGAATGGAAGACTTTTATAACATCCGTCATTTTTGAGCTTCAGGTTAGCACCTTTATAGGGATTCTATATTTAGAATATTATTTTATGAGGATCTAGTCATGATGATTAGAATTCATCTGGCTTAGTTCCCAAATTATAATTCAGATAACCTTGCTTCGACGGGTAACTAATAAAGTTAACTTATGTAATGCCAAAGATATTAAAAATGCTCCAAATATAATAAAGTTGATATTATAAACATCTAAATTAAAATACGAAAGTCTCATTTGAATGTCCAAATAATTTTATCAAAAGGTGGAGCTTTGTATTAATAATGTCATTTTTAATAATGTTTGGCAAATAATATTTTTTGTTATAATGGGCTTATTCTTGTTTAAAAGAAAAATAAAAGTTTTTAGTGGCATTTTCTTCTTTAAAATCCACATATAAATACCCCACATCCTTTGAAACTCTCATTTCCAATTCTCATATTTGCATAAACCTTTCCTCTCCCTAATCTCACTCTCTCTCTCTCTCTAAATCAAACCCCCTCCAACCGATTCCATCATCAAGCACCTTTAGAAAATCGGTCAATCTTGAAAAATATTCAAGATTTCAAGAAAAAGGTATTATACTAGTTATCTTACCTTTATAAAATATCAAAAATTCCTATTTTTCTACTCCTACTTCTTGTTCTTGTAATTAAAGTTTCTGGAGATCTCAAAAGGGGAGATTATACATCCAAGACATGAAAATGTCTTCAAAATAATGGTAATCTATGATCCGCGAACTTTGAACTCTAAGAAAGTAGGAGAAAACCCATTGCATGTGGAATTTAATCATGAAAAGATATATTTTGAAATCTTGCATGCATCTCAAATTGGTTTTATCTTCCTCAAAACTCAATGGAATTGGGTAATTCTTTTTCTGGAGGTTAGCCTTATTTGTTAGCTTTAAAATGGAGTTAAAATCTTTGAAAAATGATGAGTTTAGACCCCCCCCCCCAAATGGCCGTCACTCGAAGAGTGTGCAATCTGTTTTGGGGGTTGTGTCACTCAAGATTGTAGGGTATTAATGAGTGCCTTAAACCCATTCAAAATTCTTGATATTTGGGAAAATTCTACCTAACTCATTATTTTGGATGATATAAAAAGTTGGATATAAAATGACTTTTGGAAGGTTCCTTTTTGCAGTGATTGGTGAGTCCAAAAATACCAGAAACAGAATTTATATTCTGTCCAAATATCAGTTTTTATGCAAAGGACTTTGATTTTGAAATATATAATTTTTGGTCTATTTTTAGAACAAATAATAAAAGTATCAACTTTAATTCATAAAAACCGTTGGCATTACATAAGATATAATTTGGCTTTATCTTTAGCAAGACTCATTAGGTGATCTAATTATTGGATTCRRACTRTTTAGGAAGGTTAGGGCGGACGTTGAGCGCTTCAAACGTCATCTCCTTGGATATTCATCGTCAAACCTGTGAGTTTTCACGGCCCCACTTTTAATGCTTTT